ATGCGAACACTCCGTCATTGACCAAGAGACTAGGTCAAACATCTAACTCTCACTAGTCTCACGCGCACTAACGATATCCCACTCTCGTTAATGCTTCGACTATAGACCGTTTAGAATTATACTAAGTGACAAGATGTCAGTCTCAACATCAGAAGACTCATTCTGATAAACATCTTATAATATAATTCTAGGAATGCAATTAAGAGTTTACATTAGCATGAGATGTTTGTAAACTTAATACATATGCCTTTACATGATAGAAAATATCTAAGATATTACAACAGCAGTTGGCCATAAGGGCACCAACTCCAACAATCTCCCACTTGCATATTGGCCAATCTGGCATCGGTCGAAAGCCCATTGACCTAGTGTGACCCTCATGCTTTAGCTTTCCCAAGGGCTTGGTCAGGGGGTCGGCTATGTTGTCGTCAGTTCCTACTTTGCAAATCTCTACATCACCTCTGTCTACGATTTCTCGTATGATGTGATAACTTCTTACAATGTGCTTGGTCTTTTGGTGAGATCGTGGTTCCTTTTCCTGTGCAATGGCCCCAGTGTAGTCGCAAAACAACGGGATTGGGTCATTAATGCTAGGAACCACTCCAAGTTCATAAATGAACTTCTTTATCCAAACACCTTCCTTTGCTGCTTCAGCAGCAGCCATGTACTCAGCCTCTGTAGTTGAATCGGCGGTTGTGTCCTGTTTAGAACTCTTCCAACTAAAAGCTCCGCCATTCGGGCAAAACACATACCCTGCTTGTGACTTGTAATCGTCTTGATCGGTTTGGAAGCTCGCATCAGTGTAACCGATCACTTTCAGCTCTTCCTCACCTCCATATACCAGGAATGCATCCTTAGTATTCCGAAGATATTTTAGGATGTTCTTGACCGCTGTCCAGTGTGCTTCACCTGGATTCCCCTGGTATCTGCTGGTCACGCTTAAAGCGAATGAGACATCAGGTCTAGTGCATATCATGACATACATGATGGAACCAATTGCAGAAGCATATGGGACCTTCATCATGAGTTCCTTCTGCTCGCAAGTAGAAGGACTCTGGCTTTTGGAAAGAGTCGTGCCAGGTAACATAGGTAAGGACCCCCTTTTTCGAGTTAGTCATGCTAAATCGATCAAGGACCTTATCTATATATGTACTTTGACATAGACCTATCAACTTTCTTGACCTATCACGGTAGATTCTTATGCCAAGGGCATAATTAGCATTCCCTAAGTCCTTCATGGCGAAGTTCTCGCTCAACCAAGTCTTTAAAGATGTAAGAGCAGGAACATCGTTACCCATTAACAATATTTCATCGACATATAGGATTAGGAACACTATCACACTCCCACTGACCTTCTTGTAAACACAAGACTCATCAGAATTCTTCTCGAAACCAAAACTAGTGATGGTTTCATCAAAGCGTATATACCAACTCCGAGATGCTTGTTTCAATCCGTAGATTGACCGTTGCAGCTTACTGACTTTGGCAGATTCACCAGCAATTGTAAAACCGTTAGGCTGTGTCATATAGACATCCTCTTTGAGGTTCCCATTAAGGAAAGCCGTCTTGACGTCCATCTGCCAAATCTCGTAATTGTAGAACGCTGCAATCGCAAGCATTATCCGAATGGACTTCAGCATCACAACTGGAGAAAAGGTTTCATCATAGTCAATTTCATGGATTTGTCTATAACCTTTTGCTACCAATCTAGCTTTGAAGGTATGAACCTTCCCGTCTACGTCTATTTTCTTTTTGAAAATCCACTTGCATCCTATAGGTTTTATCCCTTCGGGCGCATCAACCAAGGTCCAGACTTGGTTTGTGTACATAGACTCCATTTCGGATTTCATGGCATTAATCCATTGTTCGGATTCAGGGCACGTGATTGCCTCGAGGTAGGTCTCAGGTTCGCCTTGGTCTACCAGCAAGACGTCACCTTCATCAGATACAAGGAAGCCGTATCTAACCGGAGGATTACGCATCCGGTCTGACCTACGTGGTAAAACCTGAGCCGGTCGAGATACTAAATCTTGACGCTCGGGTTCCACAGCTATTGAGATCTCTTCTTGTGGTTCTCAAATTTCTTCGAGGTCTACCTTTCTCCCACTAGAAATAGCAGAGAGAAACTCCTTCTAAAGGAAGGTTCCGTTCCGAGCAACAAAGATTTGTTATCGGTCGGATGATAGAACTCATACCCTTGCGATTCCTTAGGGTATCCCACAAATTTACACCTGTCAGATATTGAATCCAGCTTACCAGACATCATGAGGCGTCTAACGTAAACATCACAACCCCAAATCCTCAAGTACGACAAATTTGGTTTTGTCCCACGCCATAGCTCGTATGGCATGCTCTCAACAGCCTTAGATGGTACGTGATTGAGTGTGTGTGCTGCTGTTAATAGTGCTTTTCCCCAAAAGGACTCTTGTAATGTTGTCAGACTCATCATACTCCGAACCATATCGAGCAGCGTTCGGTTTCTCCTTTCAGACACTCCATTTAATTGGGGTGTACCGGGAGGAGTCAGCTAGGATAGGATCCCGTTCTCTTTTAGATAGTCATCAAACTCCAGGCTTAAGTACTCACCTCCTCGATCCGAGCGGAGGGTCTTGATACTTTTTCCTAATTGTTTCTCTACTTCGTTTCGGAATTCTTTGAATTTGTCAAAGCATTCCGATTAGTGTTTCATGAGATACACATATCCATACCGACTGAGGTCGTTAGTAAATGTTACAAAGTATGAGAAACCACCTCTAGCTTCAGTGTTGATTGGGCCACACACATCAGAGTGTATGAGGCCTAATACATCACTCGCCCTTTCACCGTGACCGGTGAATGGAGCCTTTGTCATTTTACCGAGTAAACAAGATTGGCATACATCATAAGACTCGAGGTCAAATGAATCAAGTACGCCAGAGTGACGTAACTTAGATATGCGTTTCTCGTTAATGTGGCCCAAACGACAATGCCAAAGGTATGTGAGATTCAAACTGTTTGGTTTGCTTCTCTTAACATCTACGTTATAAACAGTGGCGTCTAAGTCTAAGATATAAAGACCATTGGTCATCTTAGCAGTTGCATAGTAAATATCATTTCTGAAAACCGAAAGGCACTTGTCTTTGA